ATCATCATCATCATCATCATCATCATCATCATCATCATCATCATCAACATCATCATCTTTATCATCCTCGTCGTCATCATCGTCAAAATCTTCATTATCCTCATCATTGTCATCATCTTCATCCTACCACTCAACATCTTCATCCTCATCGTCATCATCGCCGTCATTATCATCATCACGATCGTCGTCATCATCATCATCATCATCCTCGTCGACATCATTTTCGAAGTATCAGTCCTGATCCTCATCATTATCCTCGTCATGCTAATCATCACAACCAACGTCATGGACATTATCGTCATCATCATCGTCATCGTCATCATCCTCGTCAATTACATCCGCATCATCTTCATCCTCATCCTCATCACCATCGTCATCGCCATCATCCTCATTATCATAATCTTTATCATTACCTTCATCATCATCAACATCATCGTCATCATCATCACCATCATCATCATCATCATCATAACCGTATTCATCATCCATATCATCGTAGTCATCGTAATCATCATCATAATCGTCAGTGTTATCATCATCCGCAGCAGCAGCAGCAGCAGCATCATCATTACCGTGATCCTAATGCATATCGTCATCATCATCTTAATCAGCAGCAGCAGCAGCAGCAACATCATCGTCCTGGTCATCATGCGCATCTTCCTGATCACCGTCGTCGCCATCATCATCATCATCATCATCATCACCGTCATCATTATCCATATCATCATCATCATCGTATTCATCATGATCTTCGTCAGCTCCATCGTCATCATCATCTTCATCATCATCATCATCACCATCGTTAGCGCCATCACCATCATCATCATCGCCATCAACATCGTCGTCATCATCATGATCATCAGCTTCGTCCTCATCATCGTCATCATCATCATCACCACCATTGTTATCTTCATCATCATCCGCATCATCATAGTCATCATCATCATCATTTTGATCATCATTTTACCCAACATCTTCACCTCATCATCATCATTATCATCATCATCTCCATCATCATCATCATCTTTATCATCATCATCGTCATTATCATCAGCATCATCGTCGTCATTATCATCACTATCGTGATCATGATCGTGCGCATCATCATCATCATCGTTATCATCATCATCATCTTCATCACCATCAATAACATCAATAAATTCATCGTCATTTTCATCATTCACATCTTCATCAACATCATCACTTTCATCAACATCATTATTCACCGCATCATCATCATCATCATCATCATCATCATCATCATCATTATCATCATCATCATCGTCATCGTCGTCATGCTCGCCATCATCATCACCATCATCGTCATGGTCATCATCACCATTGTGGACATCATCATCATCTTCGTCTTCAATATTATAATCAACATCATCGTCGATATTATCATCATCGTATTCATCTTCATCATCATCATCATCACCGCCATCTACGTCGTCAATATCATCATCATCGTGATCATGATCCTGCCCATCATCATCATCATCGTCGTCATTATGATCACCCACATTATCGACATTTTCGTTAACATCGTCATCAATATCATCGTCATCTTCATTATCATCAGCATGATCTTCGTCGTCAGCATCGTCATCGTCATCATCATCATCTTCTTTTTCATCATCGACAATTTCGACTTTTTCCTTAATATCATCATCATGATCTTCGTCATCGTATCCATCGTCATCACCGTCACTGATATCATCGTCATCATCATCGTCATTGTCATCATCAACATCGTCATCATGTAGATCATCATCGCCATCTACATGATCTTCATCATCATCATCATCACCATCATCGTCATCTTCGTCGTCACCATCATTTACATCAATAACTTCATTTTCATCATTCACATCTTCGTGAGCATCGTCATCTTCATCATCATCATCATCATCATAATCATCATCATCATCATCATCATCATCATCATCATCATAATCATCACCATTAACATTGTCATCATGAACACTATCATCATCATCCTCTTCAACATTATCATCATCGTGATCATCATCTTTATGAACACCACCGTCATCATCGTCGTCATCTTCATGATCTATCATAAGCATCATCATAAGCATCATCATCATCATCATCATCATCATCATCATCATCATATCATCATCATCATCATCATCATCATCATCATCATCATCATCATCATCATCATCATCATTTTCATTATCATAAACATCATTATCATCATCATCATCAACATCGTGGTCATCATCATCATTTTCGTCTTCAATATTATTATCAGGATCATCGTCGATGTTATCATCATCATTTTCATCATCGTCATCATCTTCGTCATCATGATCATTATCATCATGGCCATCTACGTCGTCATCATCATCAAAGTCGTGATTATGATCATGCCCTTCACCGTCATCAGCATCATCTTCATCATCACCATCATGCCCGTCAACATCGCTGCCATGATCTTCATCGTCATCATCCTCATCATCGTCATCGTCACGATCATCATCTACATCATCTTCATGCTCATCATCGTCATCATCATCATCATCATCATCTACATCATCATCATCATCGTTATCAGGATCATCGTCATGGATACCATCGTCATCATCACCATCCATATCATCATCATCATCTTCATCATCATCATCATCATCGTCATCATCTTCATCATCATCGTCATCGTCATCTTCATCGTTATCATCGTCATCGTCATCGCCACCATTATCCTCGTTATCTTCATCATCATTATATCACCTTTATTAAGATTGTTAACTATACGTGTGTCCTTTAAAAACCAAACTTCTTCATTTATCCATTCTTGCTCTACACCATATCCCAACGCGCTGCGCTCATCAAGCTGAAGTCAAGCCGATTACGAAAATTAGCTCCGTTTCTAAACGATGGAATTAT